GGGTTTAGGATTTAGGGTTATAGGCTTCTGGATAATGGGGTTTCAGGAGCCGGCGCAAATTTGTTTTGAAAGAATTCTGCTAGGAGCCCTTGTAGAGAGATGTCATTGCAGCAAAGTGTATAGTTTGAATGGGTCGAAATTCTTGTGCACTCAGGATAGTGGAAAGCAGATTTGTGAGGTAAATGTCAGCTTTCCGCGAGGCCTTAGCGGGATTTCCAAAACTTGTGGTCCCATTCTGAGAGTTGGAAAAACAAGGATCATCAATTCTTGGGGTAGACCAACCCCTTTGTCTTGGGAAAGGCCCAAACCCTAAACCCTATAGTGAACAGCTGAAGCCTATTCCTTTTTGTTCGCTTCACTTGTCATGCTTTGCAGGCGGGAGCTGCATTAAATGCTCTCATTCCTGCATCTTTTATGCAGCCATGTAAGCAATCATTCCCCGTAGACTTCCATGAGCGAAAGCTTGGAATCAGTGCGACTGCTCAAAGTTAGTGCTGCATGTTGCTTGCTGTGCTTGAGCTTCTTCAGAACACTTGTGCCTTTAGGCTGGCCATGAGGTAGATCTGCAGGATCAGGACTAGCACCAAGATCCTGAGCGCAGTGTCTTTTTGCTTGCAGCCTTCCCCCAGAAGGGACCCTAGGGATGCAGGGGGACTACACAAAATATTATGGGAATCCCTATTCAAGATCTGAAAGAGGCAACTTTTGAGAAACTTCGACTTAGCCAGCAGCTCAGCAGCTAAGCATCCTTCCACCCACGTCAGGCCCCATGAACAAAAATGCCAGAAGCTTTCTGGGTGATTGGGTGTCTTCCAGAAGGTCAGACCCCGCAAAGAACATGCAAGGGGACGTAAGAGAGCCAACCAATTATTCAAGGGTTTTGTGTGTTTGGGCTCTCAGGATCTACCTGAAGTGCAGCAAGAATCATAATGGAGACTCCCATGCGAGCGATCATCAAGCCAGCGGATGAGTAGCCTTTGCAGTAGGACCGCGTGTCCCGAACCTCAATGGCACCCAAGGGCAGGGCACTGCGTGGCTGTTCAACAAGAAATGCGTGTTGATTCCTGAGTGGCGTTGCTACTAGTAGTAATTTGAGCCTCGCTTGAAAGGCAGTTGCTGCTTGATTCTTGGCGACACGTCGGGCAGAGACGGCTACGCACCAAGCACTTCAAAAAGCGTCGCCAAACCCAGGCTTCTAGTTTCTGGCCAGACGCATGATTTCTCACATGCAAACCAACCGACCGCGTCATCTCCAAACAAAGTTGCCATGCAAGATGCAAGCTTGACGAATGTCGCACGACTGTAATGTCTTGTAGTCAGTAAAGAAGTGGTACGGAAGAAACGGACTGATGGCAGAATTTGAACTGGAAACCCCGGAGACAGAAAAATTGGGCCCTTTGCCCAGAGACCACTTCCCTTCCGGAAGCTGGATTTCATCCTTTCCACAAACCATCGGTTTCTTCTTCTACAGCTTGCTCGACTGCCTAGCTCATCATCCCTGCAGAGGGAACTGCAGAGCGGAATAGTGGCCCTTAAAAAGGGTAAGGGTACGGAATAATCTAGTCAGTGCCACTCCTGGGCACGAATCTACGGAATTGAAACAAAGGTATGTGCTGAGCTGATCCTTGATTTGTTGCATGATTATTCTTGCCCAACTTCCTTGCTTCACCTCGCCTTTTAAGGATCGCTGCTGCAAAACATACACATGGACCTGGCTTGGATATCTGTGGCACCTTCTGTACTGGTAGGACAGGCAACTACGGAGGCGATCGCGAGTCCATAGAGATCTTCCTCGAGTCCCTGGCACCGTGAACTCTCGTGGCAGGCTTTGTGCTTAGTGAGCATCGCAGCCGCAACTCTGACATTATCATATACATATGTATATATATATATATTTCGTAGCATATACCCCTTTGCCAGGCCTCAGGCCCACATGCCTGCGCTTTCAGCTCTTCCGCCTCCTCCCCCTGGCCGGTCCAAGCCCACGTACTCTGAGAATTACTGCAAGCTTGCACGCAGGGTGATGCCTCCGCCTTCTTGGCTTTGAAGAACATGCAGCTGGACAGGGCCAGCAAACCTGTGCTATGAGCATGCCTACCTAATATAATGCCTTCAAATTGTGGAAACCAATTATGTACAGTGTAGCACTCTGAATAATGCAGACCCATCAAAAAGCTGCAATCATGCCCGAGAGGCAGAACGTCAACATGAACAAGATGAGCACAGGAAACAGCGCACCCAGCTTGGCTTTGAAAAGCAGGGTCCATGCAGAGTCATCGATGTCCAGAGGTCCTGCTCCACTCGCAAGTACACTTCATTCATCAGCCCACAAGCACGGCAGCATTCACTACAGTCCTTTTGGATTGGGAGGATACAGCGTTGTCGTCGCGGCCTGAGCCTCTGCGCTCTGATCTCCTGCCCATACTATGGAGATGCTCACAGTTTATGGATGAGCACTCGGCGTCAGGGGAATCCGCCGGACGATTGTGCTTTCCAAGTGCTTCAGATTCCAGATCTAGGTCTCCCAAGCCCGCCCAAAGCTCAAACCATCGCAAGTCAGCATTACCTGCCTGCCATCAAAGCAGCTTGATTTCTTGCCCGGTGATGGGCAGTGTGGTCTGAAACCGGCACCTGAGCATGGTGTGTGTGTACGTTTTATTCTCTTGTTGCAGCGACACGAATCAGGTCACAAATAATCAAGATGGCTTGTACTGAGGCACAACATCTTGCGCTTCACCTTCAGCATCGATCCGTGCTTCGTACCGCATCATCCTCGGATCCTGCGGACTCTCAGCTGGGGATGCGCCTCAGTGACGCGTCCCAGCTCATGCATTGATCTGCATGGCTCTTGACGCCAGGAGCCACTCTCACTGCAAAGCCGCGCAGACGGAGAAAGAGTGAGGAAGAGGTAGCGACAGGAAGCACGGGATCTTTCAATACACAGCCAAGGCACACAAGCATCCCCAAAGCATTGTCAGGGCAATCAGCTTGCGCATCTGTGTGACCATGGATGAACGAGTGCTCAAAGACACCTGGATCGAGCATCTCTGTCTTAACTCTGTGACCGAATATCCGGCAGTCCATGCAAGCAAATGACGCCGTACATGCTCGTGGGTGTACTACTAGTACTACCCCTGGTACAACGGCTACTACAACCCCTACGCCCACTCCTACCCCTCCCACTACTCCTCCTGCTGCTAGTATTTCTACTACAACTGCTACTACCACTACTAACACCAGTACTCACTACGGCCTGCACGACTTGCTGTTCCCATTCCACTACTTTCTAGTTACGAAGCATCACTATCATCACTGAGTCCTGTTCTAGCTAGCGGGCTCCTCTCCACATCTAGTCGCTCGCGTAAGCTCCCGGCTCAGCGAAGGCAAACAACAAGTAGAGATGTGTCTGAACCACTAAGTGGCTAGGGGTGCACACAACTCCCGAGCTTAGCATGAAAGGCTGCCACATCATGAAGAACCATCGATGAGGTGCATCTCCGCTGCACTGTTGTGCTATATAGTCTCAGTCTGCACTTTACCTGTTCCCACTCAAGTGCCGCCGTTACTGTCCTGCAACGGGGCAGCGCTCCAATCCTTTATTTGGGATCAGCCTTCCCTTGTTCATATGCATAACCTGGATCACGAGGCCATGATTCTGCTTCACACGTTGATTCAGGTTTGCTGGGGGTGGCTCCCCTGACATAAAGCTTTCATGCATGCTTGCTTGCAGTTGAACCCACCCTCCCAAAGAGACCAACTTCAACACGTGCTTCTCCATGTAAGAGCCCCATGTACTGCCCAGAGCGCAAGGATCTGGATCATAATAGGGCCATTGAGAATGCGCAATTGAATCTTAAAAACTTGCGCAGGCCTCTCGCATGGCGGCCGCGGTTTGTTCTTGGGCCTCATGCAATTGTGCAGGACAGATGGAATCTTAAGCGGAACCCGTGGTGATTGAAAGTCAGGGGTTGCTCTGCGAACCTCCTTATCAAGCATGCTGAAGATGCAAAAGAACAAGTTTTAATTGGCTCGTTAGTGTCAAAGCAAACACGTCGTAGATCACTTTGATCGCAGGCGGTCTAAGGACTGCAAAGTACTGAACTGGCGCCCGCACACTGGCGATCTCTACCTTCACCTCCTGTCACTTGCACTTGGAAACGCCGCAAGCCGTGAATCAAACGAAGATGTCGCGATTCCTCTAAGCATCGGGGGGCAAGTGGACACGGCCAACTCTCTCCCGCAACTACTGGTTACGTGTGAATAGGAAGGCGCCTCGCATGCAAGCTGCAGCTCTGACACCTGCCACGGCTTTCGTCCAAAGCAACAACTATTTCGAATACCCTGTGCCTGCACATTGTCACCATATTCGCCATTAAAGGCTGATCCTGGCCTCGCTGGCGTGCTCTTCGCTTATCCTGGCCTGCATTGTCATGAAATGCGAACTGGTCTGTCATCAAGTAGAGGGCCCGGGCATGCTGCAGCTAGTTGCCAAGTATGTAGCTACTCTGAGGCAGAACTTTGATGCATTGCGGCGTTTTGTCTCGCTACACTGTTTGAATGGCGGCTGCTTCCTGCCGCGCGCTGGCATCGGACTTCAACTTGTCAATCCTCAAGCCTTGCCATGGCCAATGCGGTTCATGAGAAATCGATGCTTGCAATGCTCAGGCCACTCTTAACGTCTGGAGGACATGCACGTCTCCCACAATCCCTGGCCATTCCTGGCCGCTGAAACGAAGGCTTTGGAGCAGTCTTAGGCTGCAGCACACAAGGTCAACTGCTTCCTCCGCTTCTTGAAGCCTCAGCTGGAGCTCACTCTGATTAGCATACATCCTTCTGTTCGCTCAAGTACGGGGCCGTTCGTTGGCTACGCGGTGGGAGCAAGCTTCGATCTTGCCCCTCTCAACCATGACCTCCTGACCGTAGCTCGAAAGATGTTGCTCAGCGCTTGCAGGCATCGCTATAGCTACCCAAACTTCTCAAACGCCACTCACAGGTTCGCTGTGGCATCTTGCCGCACTCTAGCTCCTGCCGAAGCTTTTTCTCTGTGCTTTGCTCCACGAGCTCCTCCTGCCGGAGCCTGCCAATGATGAGGCTGGCAAAAGCACAACGAATGGCAACGGAGCAATCGTTGTGTCACCTACAATCTTGCGAAACGATCAACAACCTGAAGCGCGAAGCACAGTCGGAGACATTCGGAATACTTTGAAGCTGGTGGATTTGTACAAGCTACAATTGGGCCAGAAGTAGCAAGCTACCCAGCAAGCCTGCTATAATCATCTCCCGGACCTGGTGTTAAATACATTTACATACTCCCCATTATTGGGAATACACTACCATAATGGGGAATATATGTATATGTTAAGATGGGGCCTTGGTGTTTGTTTCCCACTGGGGGGGGGGAGGGATGGGGACATACTTAATACTTTGAAGGACCTCGCACTGTCTTTACAAGCAGCCCCCAAACCCTGAACCCTAAACCGCAATCTCCTCCCAAAAAGTCCTAGCCTGCTCTCCTCACGTTCAGATCGGGCAATTTCCGCCCAAATAGAGTCAACCTGCCGCTATCAAAGGGGCAACGCTTTTCCCACTCAGGCGTTCATTTCTGCTTGGATTTAGGCGCCTGCTTACAATTTGGGTGAATCGATCTGCCGGCACGCATTTTAGGAAGGAACAAGTTTGAACGTCTTCAATTCAACTCAAGGGCCCTGAAGAAGAACGCTTATGCCCTGAAGTGGTTTGAAGATTCAGGCGTACATCGTTGTATTCCAGGTGTGTCAATATCACTACTCAGGCGGCAAATACCCGTGAGGCTGAAAAGGCTTTCAGCTGGAATCTGGCTGATGCAGGGTTCAGGCAAAAAAGGTAGACATGGTAGCCAGAGTCACTTTTGGACAGGAACAAATGCCTCGGGAATGTGCAGGCGCTATTCAGGCTTCTACACGACTTATTTACATCCGGGGTGTGCTTGTAGGAAATCTTCACCCCTAAATAGTCCCCATATATCCCCCTATAACCCCTTTAAAGGGACCCTAATTCGGGAACTACCTTTACAAACCCTGAATATGGAGTCAGAGGCCTGCATGGGAGCCTGTTATTATGATCCGCGAAAGCCAAGAGCGGACACAGAGGGGGTTTTGATAAACCCTAAACCCTAAACCCTATAGTAGTTTCCATGTTCTTTTTCCATTCTCCCTAATATAGTAGTTTCCATTCTCTTTTCCATTATCCCAATATAAGGACTTTCGGAACATCTCGGTGAAGGCACCCCCAAAACTCTGTAGACCTCCGCAAAACCTACGTGCCTCGAAGCGGTGGCGGGCGGTTTCCCTGGCGGCGGCTGCCTCCCCTTGGCACGAGAGCTAGAGAAGATCCTGGGATTCTATGATGACGATGCTGGTCCCCTATGCCTCGCTGAAAGACATTCAGCGAGCAGACCTAAGGCACTTTTTCCAGTTTTCATAAACTCGCCTGAGGGGTTCCCCAGATTAGAGGTAGCTGTTTGGGCTCCCCATAATCAGGAGAATAGTGTATTAGGTCTGTACTATCTAGAGAATCTACCACTTATCACTTAGCGCATGCGCAGCATTAGCAGCCAACCCACACCTTGTGATTGAATAACTCGTGCTGGGTACTGGGTATTGCTTCTTTATCTTCAGTGGACTTCATGGTTTAGAGATGGGAGGGGCACCTGTACATGGGATTATCTCAACTTTCAGGTACTTCTCTGTATACGCATGGCTGTTGCTACATTGCTGCCTCAAAGCCGTTACATAGTTACGCCTAAACTCCATGACAACAAATCCGGAGCGCCATGAAAACATTGCAAAAACATGCACACGTTTTCTACCTATCGAGGCTAACTGTTTTATGGATCGCGGCTGCGGTGCAGCGCGATTCTCCTTGCGAGTGATACCCTGCAATTATGTTCGTGCTAGCACCACGGAATGACCACTTGCCTCCTGCGTCGCAAACATGCTTCATTTACAAGGCAGAACTACAATTTCAGATGCCAGTACTATCTGCAGTAGTAATTCTGCGAATTATTTAGAAGGGCGGTCCTTTTGGCTTCCATTCAGGGACCGCTCCAACATGATTGTTTACATGCGCCTATGTCCGCATCAAGTCAATTTAACTGGTCGCCTGGTGTTCCCCTCAAACGGAGCTTTTGACGCGTGCAGCGAGATAGCAGGCATCTGGCATCTCGTGCTACGAGCGCTGGACGCATGCTAACCCTGCTACCCCTGATGTAATCTCTGTCGCCAATCAACGTCCAAGTCCTCCTTGCCTTAGCAATCGCTGCGCGGCACGTCCGCTGTAAAGCTGCTGAATCGGCAGGTATCATGAAATGAGCCTTTGCAAACCGCAGAAAAATGCTTTCCCTGAACCTTCCTGCAAAATCTCTTCAAGAAAGCTCCGGCTTAGTACAGCCCCCGATTGCTAGGCGTCGGGCAAGGTATCAGCTGGAACGACCAGTCAAACTCTTGGTCCGGCCGGATCATGTGCTCTGGCAGCGGCTTTCTCCCCCACGAGTCGATCCCACCAAGGCCCATGTGGAGCACATCGACGCAGAAAGTCTGAGGAAACAGGAACATTCACACGAAACATGGGGTCAGAACTTCGTGATGTGCGTCTAAACCTTTTCTACGGCTCACCAGAAAACTACAGTGGACGCAAGAAAACGCCAGGCAGCCGTAGTTGCCCGCTCCACAAGTTCTCCTGCGTGCAGGAAGGCTTGCTGAGCCTTCACCTCGCCTCCATCGAAGTCATCCAAGGCAAAATGGTGGCACTGCATCTCCAACGTCGGGCTTGGTGCCTTACACGGCCTATCTCTTGCTTCAAATTACTGTAAACACGGCCATAATTTGTGAGAATGTTTACAAAGCAGACAAGATCTTCCAAAAACTCTAGCCCTGGCCCAAAAGAGGAACTTAGCTGGCCTTCTTGAAGGATGCTAGTCGGGCCCATGCTCTGGACCATGCGGTCTGCCCCGTAGCATAGTGCTGCCTGGTTCCTGGGCGGAAATGAACAGCATTGAGCAAGCATCTGCCGGCTGTCTTTTCAGTGCCATCCATCTAGTCTGGTACTTGTTGCCGTTCTCCTGGGGTCGGACGTACTTGAAGGTCTGCTCAGCGATGGTGCCCTGAAATAAGCCCACACGCGCAGAGGCATGCCGATCCAAGTAAGATTCATGCGGCCCACGACCAAACCACTCGACATCGCGGAAACCGTCAACCAAAGAGCCGGTGAATCCGACTCTCATGGGAGCAGGCTGGTCCTGCAAGCCGTTCTTCAACGGATTGTTTCGCCCATGACAAAACACTTTAGCTGTGGTGTCCAGCATTCAGCACAGTCCTTGACCTCCAAACGGAATCTGGTCTCGGGCGATTCCCCCTTCACAGCGACAACGGTTCCCTCTACGACTGCCAAGAAGCTGCCAGCAGTCTCCAGGGTCACCTGGCAACCATGGGATTTCTGGTGCAGAGACGTTCCTCTTCAGCCGAGTCAATGCGGAAATCTTACCAGCGCACTTGTTCCTTTTACACGTCGGGATGAGGATGCCAGGATGAAGTAAGCCCACAGCTGTTCCTAAACCCCAAGCCCCTCTGCCTCGTCTCCTGATCGCACATGCCCCTTGCCCGCTATTCTCCGCAGTGTCCAGATCGCCTCCTGGCAGGAGCTTGGTAGAAATTTCAGAATTATGGTCCCTGGGCCCTGGACCATCATTTTGATAACCCCCATTTGGTGGATTTTGCTTTGCAGTGCCTTTGCAGCTAGAACATGCCGTGGGACGGGTACAGGATTGCGTGCACAAGTTTTGCAGCACCTCTGGCCACCATACTATCTACTGCTCACCAGACTTGTACTGTCTGGTTCTTACAAGCACAGCTGCCGCCACTTCCACAATCACAGAGGTCCTGTGGCTGACCGTTGGCCGAAACTTCAAAGGCTTCACGGGACGGATAGCCGGCAGGCCTGAGACTGCAAAGGCATGAAATGAGAGCCCTACCCTGCACAGTAAGACGAGCAATGCTGGAAGCGGTAAGCAGGAATTTTAGCTGCCGCAGCAAAACGCCTAAACAATCCTAGACTCAAACTACATCGCCAGCATCTCTTTTGCTCGGCGATTATTTTGAAGCTAGGGTTATGACGGTCTGATTTATAGCCTGAAGCAATTTCCAGTCCCATCAGCTTAACACAAAGCCACAAAGTAAGCCATGCCCAAGCTCCCCGCATCTGCCATGGCACCGAGATCGGGGCAACGCCATTCAGCCTGGGCTTGGCGGCAGTGGAAAGCCAATTCGCATATCATCTTGGGCAGTCGCACGTTGATGGCTTTGACATACAGCTGTTCCATCTTGTGCTTGTCATTCCCCTTAAACTGTCTGCGATTACCAGTAGGCAGCCGGCACGTCTTCGGGCAAGTACAATCAGATGTGTTGGCAATAGACCCCGGGACCTTACCCCGGGTACCCTCAATAAAATGACAATAAAACAGCATTATAATAGCATTAAAATGATAATAGAATTAAAATAGCATTAAAATAGTAATAAAGTAGGAGGCAACTGTTGCATGATGTCGTGTGGCAAGGTTGAAAGTTTCTGCTGCTTACTTTGAAAAGTAGCACACGGTCTGAACTCCCATCATGGGCTACTTTTCAAAGTTGAACCCCACCACCCCCGCCACCGCCCCCC